TTTAAATCAAGCAATGCCTTTAATATTTACTTTCTAGGTGTCCGACTACTTTTCTCGTGTTTTAATGTTAAGTCTCCCGTTTTCGCTTCCTACACTTGTGGTTTATGAATCCGTGTTGAATTTTTACCCTAGACATCCAGAAAAATATAAAAATAATTTACCAACGGTTTAAAATTCAATTTTGAAATTGCAATACCCAATGCTCTGAAATCTTGCAAACGTTTTAAGGTTATCAGAAGCATGGTTAAACGTCCAAAATTATCCGCTAATGTATCAAGATTTTTGGAAAAAAATTGGTCGAAAATTATTTCGAGAGAACTTCTTAAAAAAAGACAGTTGGGAACTCCGAGAAGATTTAATATCCTTAAAAAAAAAAACACTTGGGACTCCCGAGAAGGTTTCGTCTTTTTTAAAAAAGGACCGTTGGTACTCCCGAGAAGATTTCAAATTCTTAAAAAAAGAGCAGTTAGAACACCCGAGAAGGTTTTATAATTTTAAAAAAGACTGTTGGGAACCCCGAGAAGGTTTCACATTAAAAAAAAAACATTTGGCGCCCCCGAGAAGATTTTACTTTCTAAAGAAAGACATTTGGGACCCCCGAGAGGGTTTCACAGTCTTAAACAAAAGACATTTAGAGTCCCTGACAAGGTTTTACATTAAAAAAAAACACAATTAGGACCCCCGAGAAGGTTTCACATTCATAAAAAAAACATTTGGGGCCCCGAGAAGGTTTCACATTCATAAAAAAAACATTTGGGGCCCCGAGAAGGTTTCACATTCTTAAACAAAAGACATTTGGAGTCCCTAAGAAGGTTTTACATTAAAAGAACATACAATTGGGACCTCCGAGAAGGTTTCACATTCTTAGACAAAAGAGATTTGGAGCCCCTGGGAAGGTTTTACATTAAAAAAACATACAATTGAAACCCCCGAGAAGGTTTCACATTCTTAAACAAAAGGCATTTGGGGCCCTTGAGAAGGTTTTACATTTAAAAAAAATTCAATTAGGACCCCCGAGAAGATTTCACGTTCTTAAACAAAAGACATTTTGGCCCCTGAGAAGGTTTTACATTAAAAGGACTTACAATTGGGACCCCCGAGAAGGTTTCATATTCTAAAAAGATATTTGGGGCTCTCGAGAAGGTTTCACATTTTTAAAAATACATTTGGGGCCTCCGAAAAGGTTTAACATTTTTAAAAAAGTTAGTAGGAATCCGCGAGAAGGTTTCGTATTCTAAAAAAAAAAAAATTTGGGGTCCCTGAGAAGGTTTTACATTAAAAAAAATACAATTGGGGCCTCCGAAAAAGTTTCACATTCATAAAAAAAAAAAGTACAATAGGGACTACCGAGACGGTTTCACATTCTTAAAAAAAACAGTTGGGACCCCCGAGAAGGTTTTATAATTTTAAAAAAGACAGTTGGGAACCCCGAGAAGGTTTCACATTAAAAAAAAAACATCTGGCGCCCTCGAGAAGGTTTTACATTTTTAAGGACAACAGTTGGGACCCCCGAGAAGATTTTACTTTCTAAAGAAAGACATTTGGGACCCCCGAGAAGGTTTCACATTCTTAAACAAAAGACATTTGGAGTCCCTGAGAAGGTTTTACATTAATAAAACACAATTAGGACCCCCGAGAAGGTTTCACATTCATAAAAAAATCATTTGGGGCCCCCGAGAAGGTTTCACATTATTAGACAAAAGACATTTGGGCCCCTGAGAAGGTTTTACATTAAAAAAACATACAATTGGGACCCCCGAGAAGGTTTCACATAAAAGACATTTGGGCCCCTGAGAAGGTTTTACATTAAAAAAAATACAATTGGGGCCTCCGAAAAAGTTTCACATTCATAAAAAAAAAGTACAATTGGGACCCCCGAGAAGGTTTCACATTCATAAAAAAAATACATTTGTGGCCCCCGAGAAGATTTCACATTCTTAAACAAAAGACATTTAGGCTCCCTGAGAAGGTTTTACATTAAAAAAATACAATTGGGATCCCCGAGAAGGTTTCACATTCTTAAAAAAAAAATATATTTGTGGCCCCCGAGAAGGTTTTACATTTAAGAAAAAAACAGTTGGCACCCCTGAGAAGGTTTCATATTCAGAAAAGACATTTGGGGCTCTCGAGAAGGTTTCACATTTTTAAAAATACAGTTGGGGCCCCCGAGAAGGTTTCACATTTATAGAAAAAATATATTTGAGGCCCCCGAGAAGGTTTCATATTCAAAAAAGCCATTTGGGACCCTCGAGAAGGTTTCACATTTTTAAAAATACATTTGGGGCCCCTGAGAAGGTTTCACATTTTTAAAAAACACATTTGGAGCTCGCGAAAAGGTTTCACATTCTTAAAAAAAAAAATTGGAGGCCTCTGAAAAAATACACTTGGAACCCCGAAAAAGTTTCACATTCATAAAAAAATTGAATTGGGACCCCTGAGAAGATTTGATATTCATAAAAAATACATTTGGAGCTCCCGAGAAGGTTTCACATTCGTAAACAAGACATCTGGGGCCCCTGAGAAGGTTTTACATTAAAAAAGAAAATACAATTGGGACCCCCGAGAAGGTTTCACATTCATAGAAAAAATACATTTGCAGCCCCCGAGAAGGTTTGACACTCTTAAAAAAAAGTATATGTTGAGGCCCCCGAGAAAGTTTTCCATCTAAAAAAAGCAGTTGGGACACCGAGAAGGTTTCATATTCTAAAAAGACATTTGGGGCCAACGAGAATATTTAACATTCTTAAAAAAATACATTTGGATCCCCCGAGAAGGTTTTACATTTTTAAAAAGACACTTGGGATCCCCGAGAGAGTTTCATATTCTGAAAAAAAAGACACTTGAGACCTCCGAGAAGGTTTGACATTCTTAAAAAAGGCATTTAGGGCTTCCGAGAAGGTTTTACATTTTTAGAAATAATACATTTGGGGCCCCAGAGAAGGCTTAAAATTAAAACAGACAATTGGGGTCCTCGAGAATGTTTCATTTTCTAAAAAAAGACATTTGGAGCCCCCGACAAGGTTTTACAGTTTAAAAAAATGTGCTTAAGTCCCCCGAGAAGGTTTCACATTAAAAAAAGACATTTGGGGATCCCGAGAAGGTTTTACATTTTTAAAAATAATAAAAGTTTTTATATTTTTGAAAAAGACAATTGGGGCCCCCGAGAAAGTTTTATATTTTCATAAAATACAGTTGGTACCTCCGAGAAGGTTTTACATTTAAAAAAAAGACAGTTGTTCCCTCTATAAAGTTTCACCTAAAAAAAAAAATGACATTGATGGCCCCGGAAAAGGTTTTACATTTTTAAATATGGACGGGCGTATTCACATTTTTTCGGGAAAGTGGGGTAATTTCATCAATAAAAAATTTGTCATGACTTGAAATGCATAGATAGATAACAGACAATGGGAGAGAAACAAAAAAAACAAAGAAAAACATTTTGAAATTTAACTTGGAAGCTCTAGAAATGGATCATTTTATGTTCAACATGGTGAGTCATCAGAATTTGACAACGGACTTTCAGTCAGGAGCGTAACATGCAGAAGGTGATGTTTTTTTTTTAAATCGCAAACAAAAACACAGGGAAACATAAACTTAAGTGCGCAAGCTAGCACGAATACTAATGAATCTATTAGGCACAGAGAAACGATGACGGACGATAAATTTTGAAAGTGGAATGAATGCTCTGAAATCTTGCAAACATTTCAAGGTTATCGTAAGGATAATTAATCGTAAATAAAAATGTATTCCTTTGCCCCCTCCCAAAAAATTGATGACGTTTGACACCATTTTCCTGAAGTTAATTTAAGTTTGGACAATTTTTTTTAACAAATCCTGAAGGTACTCGTTGTGTTCGCATTCCAAACGGTCTGTTTTTAAAACTTAGTTTCAGAAGTGTTCCAGAAAGAGTTAAGGTAAATTATTCTGAAAACACGGACCTTTAAAATCCGAGCGAGTACGTTCAAGATGTTGCAGCTAATGATCATTAACAATCTTTAAGCTCACATTTTTAAATAACAACAACATTTTTCTTGATAATTTAGCTTCTCAGTTACACCATTGAGCAATTTTTTGAAAATCAGTATCTCAATTACTGAAGGAAATTTCGGAACTGGTTTTCAACACTGTTATCAGCTTAAAAAACTCCAGAAATCGTATCAGACATAGATAATTGTTTTGTTAAAAACGATACACGGTAGAAAAATAGCTTGGGTCCTAGAAACTACAAAACGTTTATTTTTACTGATCTCAGTTCCTACAAATAAAGTCGAAAATATATTTGGTACGATTTCCAAAGTTTTGTTAGCTGTAAACAGTGGTGAAAATAGCGTTCCAAAATTTCCATAAAAAGCTGAAATATTGATTTTTTAAAATACGAGATGCGAAAATTTCAATAAACTGTTTAATCTTGAATCAAGATGAAGATGTTAATAGTTTAATTTTTAACGCAAAGAAAGTATTTCTTAAAGCTCATTTGCGGATCCAAACCTTCCGGGAAGCCTTACCGGATTGTCCATCGCCTCCAGAACCTGTTCTGACAAGACGGGGTTTACGAATATTATTGCGATCATTTTGACGATATAAAAAAGCTTCATTTATTGCTATTCACAATTTTGTTGTGTAATTCTAAGTTAAATGAAAGATTTTAGACTATTGTGGAATTTCTGGTTGCTGTTTCACCCTCTGCCCGAAACCGTTAAACCACTCTTCCAATTCCAAAGAAATCGGTCAGTCAACCACCCGTCGGCTCCACGTTTCCCCAGCCACGCAGCAAGCCCGCTTTTGCCACCGTTGCAGAAAAACTGTCACCACGTCGAGCCTGTCACAAGCCTCACCAGTGTCACAATCGCCGGCCGCCCCCTCGTTCCCCACAGGACCTTCACCGGCCGGCTCGCCACCCCCTGGAGGCCTTCTCCGACGTCTCCACGGCGTCTCCTCGGCCTCCTTGCGCATGCGGCGCATTTGAACTCACCTGAGATTGAATTCCGCGCTGGATCCGCGATCGCGCCAGTCATGGGGCTCGCTTAGGTGAGTGAGCGCGTGGTCATGCACGCCGTGCTGGTGCCCGTTTACCTTCTGCTCGTCACCCCCATCACGTTGTCCTGGTGGTGAGTTTTTCCCGCTTTTTCGCTTGCTTACCCCACCACCGCCGGGCCGGACAGTGTCACTGGGCGACGATTCGGTAACGCATTTGCGCCAATTTGCATACATTATGCAAAACTGATAATGTATTGGCTTTTGAGCCTTCGGACTCAATTAACCCATGGGTTAATTAAGTTTTCATTTTTTACTCGTAAAATTTCTAAGAGATGGGCACGTGATGGCGACTGGATCGCGGGATGGGCGGGTTTGGCGGAAGTTGGGGATCGTGGGGCTGGAATGAGGACAGGAGCTTTGGCGAAAGGACAGCGACTTTGGCGGTTTGGGTGCCGTAAAGGGGGTTTATCGGGCGGGTTAAGTGCAAAGCGTAACCTATATATTGTTCTAACGCCAAAGAACAGCAAACATTTTTTGTAAACTTGATTTAACGTTATTTTAGTGTTTTGATGTAGACAACTTATGTATCAAAAAAATTGAAATTTCTGAAATAACTGATAAATTTTTCATGAGGTCCAATTCACGAAATTTCGAAATGACGTCATTACTTTTTCGGAGAGGATGAATAGGCAAATTCTGTGATAATTTTAAACACGCTTAAAATTTCTAATTTTCGAGAAGCATTGATCACATGTAAACTATTTTTAAAGCACAATATTAATTTTTTTAAAAATCTAGAAAACTAAGTGGATAAAAAAGCTAAAAATGAGACAAGGACGTCTACTAAATCCTGCACGGTTTACTGTTTCATGAGATGACGTGCGTGACTGAGATGACTACGGGAAAGTAAAAGTTGTAGTTGAAGGAGAAAGTAAAAACAAGAGAAACTGAACTTAATACTTATAAAAGTTAGCAATAAGACTAATGAATGATAAAATGATTTCTGAAACGCAATGGAGTAGAATATACACAACGAAACGTGGACTATTAACATTTAAATTTAAAAATTGATTGAATAAAGTTGTTTCTCGAAAAACCAGATATATTCGTACATTACATTAACATACGTCAAGAAAATATAAATTATTGTATTTAGGAAAAATATAATTTTTTTAGATTAGGTCAAATTAAACTCTAAATTAACAGGTGTTTAATTAAAATTGCATTTTAATCGATTGGCAGCCCGTAACTTAAAAATTTAATAGCCCATTTATCAGCCACTTTATTGCGTCCAAAATAATTGTTTTAAATCGCGTTTTTGGACGAATTTTCGTTTTCGTTGTGATTCCTTGATTGAAACGTCTGCAAGCCCGCAAAACTCCCCCTGGGGCCCCCATAACTCATTCTAATTAAAGCAATTGACTTTAAGCAACCATTGCTTAGCATAAATAATAAATAAATAATTTTATTAGCGTTCACGCTCCCAGTCTTGATTTATAAGTAATTAAAAGTATTAATTGCACGCATAATGGCAATAAATAAATTCATATATCAATATAATTGGCCGAGTGTTCCCGAGCTCGAGAAATACAACATCCTGTTGATCTTGCTGGAAACAATAAACACCGTAAAGATAAAAGGGATTAAGGCTTTGTTTGCCTCTTGATGGTAGTTTATGCCTACCTGTTCTAAGCTAAACATTCTTAATCTAAGCCACGTTCCTGAGCTGAAAACGGCTGAAAGCACGCCTGATAACTCACAAAGTGTGGAAAGTGTCGCAAAGTCGGAGTAAATAAATTACAAATGTTTGGGGTTTTTGGCCCGGTTTGGGCTATGGACGGACGTCGTTACGGAGGAAGAAAGTAAAGAAAGAGGATTGTTTGAATAGACGGAGTCACTGAAAGCTTAGCCGAGACGAATATAGCCAAATAAATATTTGCACTCGAGGTGATTAAATTCCATATTTAAATAACTGTAAAGATGTTAGAAAAATGTTTGGTTTGAGTCGAATCAGTCATTCATGGTTTCAACGATCTTTGCGGTCTGCGTGAGACAATAAGGATCGTTCGGTAGAAATGATGCATAACGTGATTTATAGATAACGTGCTTCTGGTTAACTGAGTGATTTTTTTATATTGCTTTTTGTTTGTCTGTCTATCAGCTCAGGTCAGGTCAGATCAGATCACGTCAGGTTAGGTCAGGTGACTACCGTGAGCAATGAAAGTGTGTCGATGATCGGGAAGTACGTAGACTGTGTTTCACAGTTGGCTGCGATCTCAGTTTTATTTCAAACCTGTTATTTATACATCTGTTCCCTTGCGGATGTAAAACTTTATCACTTGATTTTACCGTTAACAAGAACAGCGAATGTGGTTTTTGGTGCATTTTTCTAGTTCTTGGTTAACCAACAAATGAAATAAATAAATATTTAATAATTTCATTTTCATCAAATTTATTTATTTTATGGATTTTATTTGTTTTGGTGGAACTATAATTTGAGACAATTTGCGTATATTGGCTATATTATTTTGTATGTTCTATATACAGACGTGGACGATGTATATAGTAAAACCACTTTATTTGTTTACTAATAAAATTTTACAACCTAAAAGTTAAACAACGCTAACCCTGGTTCGTAAAACCGTGAGATCTCTACATGGTACAGTTATGTTATCAAAAGTTCTATTTTTTTCTTGTTTACAAGATTAGCTACTTAAAAAATTATGAGAGTAAACAGAAACCTCAATCCGGTACAATATTAATGAGTATGACCCTAACTGACGCTGAAAATTTTATTTTCATGATAATTTGTTCAAAATAGTTTGCTAAATATTTGCGGATTTTCTGAAAATCTTGCGTATTTTCGGAAATGGAAGTACGAGAATTTATTTAACTTACAAAATCAGTTCTTGAGAGTTAGATTATTTTGCGTAAAATTAAGAAAAATTTTAAAATTCGGTAATTTGGAAAATTTTAATGTCGCAAATGTAGTTGAAACTTATAAATTGCAAAATTTTTGGATGCTCTAAAAATATTGTGACGATGCTAAAAGTCCTAAATACGATTTTAAGAAATTTTGGAACTTTGAATTTTGAAAATCGAAAAATATACATAAACCAGAAGTTGCTAATAAATTTTGATTGAAAAGTTTTTTTGAAAAAAATCCAATGTTATTAGTATTATACCTAGTCGTCCAACTTATACTAGTATAAAATCTAATTTATGCAATCTGAGTTTTTTTTAGTGAAAAAATGGATGTTTATGGTAAAAATTCAAGGCAGATTCGTAAACCACACGTACAGGAGTACGTTATTTTACAAAATTTAAATAGCATTTACTAACCAAATGCTGAGGGGATGTGATGGAACTGTTGGTGGTTAGACAAATTTTGGTTACTGTTTTACCACCTACGCAATAGTTCTAATATTTATATAAAATTTCACAAGAATCAGTCCAGTAGTTTTGGGAATTATTTGTCTAATTATCGACGCAGACGCCACATAGACGATAGAAAAACAGAAAAGGGAGACCTATTTTTCCATCATCTAGGGGTCAAAACAGTGCAATGAAATTCGGAAAAATATTATAGATCTTGGCAATTTTAGATACTAATTCTTAAAATTGCTATAAATAATGCCAATTTTGAATCTATGAAAGTTCTGAATATGAACACAAAATTGATTTTCATATTTTTAGTGTTTTGGAGTACTTGTCTACTGTGTTTTCCAGAAATTTTAGGGACTTTGAAAATTTGAAATTTGAGAGGATCAAAGCGGTGGATTTTGCGTTTTCTGGTGAAAATTTGGATAAAACTTCAGGTGGATTCATAAACCACACGTACAGGAGTACGTTATTTTATAAAATATAAATGCTTTTACTAACCAAATAAGGTGGTGGGGATGGTCAGACAAATTTTGGTTTCTGTTTTTCCAACTACGCGATATTTTTAACATTCATATAAAATTTCGCAAGAATCAGTACGGTAGTTTTGAAATTTATATCTCTAATAAAATATCGACGCAGACGCCAGATAGACGACAGACAGACAGAAATGGGAGACCTATTTTTCCACTAGGAAAAATATTACAGATCTTGGAAATTTGTCAATTTTGAACTTGTGAAAGTTCTGAATATGTACACAAAATTTATTTTCCTATTTTTAACGTTTTGAAATTCTTGTTTACTGTGTTTTCCAGAAATTTTAGGGACTTTGAAAATTAAAAAATGCCCATGAGGGATTCCAAGCGGATTCATAAATCACACGTAGAGGAATACGTCATTTTATAAAATTTAAATAACTTTTACTAACCAAATGCTGAGGTGATGTGATGAAATTGTTGGTGGAGATTTTCAACATTCATATAAAATTTTAGAGAAATCAGTCCGGTAGTTTTTGAAATTATTTGCCTAATAAAATGTCGACGTAGACCACAGAGAAACAGAAACGGGAGACCTATTTTTGGATTATCTAGGATTCAATACAATACAATGAAACTAGGAAAAATATTACAGATCTTGGGAATTTTACCAATTCTTAAAATTACGATAAATAGTGTCAATTTTGAACTTATGAAAATTCTGAATGTGAACACAAAATTTTAGTGTTTTGAAATTCTTGTCTACTCCAGAAATTTTAGGGACTTTAAAATTTTTATAATGTTGTAAACTACGCAAAACTTTGATATTTTATGACAGCTGGATGTGCTATATTTTGGGTTTGTTTAATCGGAAATCGCTTTTTCTCTCCACTTTTACGTAACCGATTTCGGACTTTAGAAACCCTTCATCAGACCGCCTACATTTAACAACATTTTAAATAAAATTTTATGAAACAAAAATGACAAATGAAGGTTTCATAAAATTAAACAGCTTAAACATTCTAAAACTTATAGTAGAAAATGCTAATTTAGAACTTACGAAAGTTCTTAATATGAACTCAGAATTAGTTGTCATATTTTTAATGTTTTGAATTTTTGTCCACTGCGTTTTCCAGAAATTTTAGGAACTTTGAAAATTTTATAATGTCATAAACTACACAAGATTTTGATATTTTATAACATCTGGATTGCTTTTAGCTAAATTTAAAATTTTTGATGTTATGTTATTCTCTTGTGGATGTGCTTATTTTGCT